GCCTAATTCTTCTGTCCACATCGATCCCCCAGGCTGTGCATCATCACGAAGCTTGACAAATTCATGCTCCAAAGATTTAGATCAGTTGCTGCTTCCTTGAAATTCATAGTAGGATCCTGTAAGCGCTTCTGAACACGATCAATTTTTCCAAGAATGACATTCCAGAAATGTAATAAAACTATGAAGTTAAAATTAATACGCATGCTTGTGTAGTGAGTTACACCTGTAACTGTTCTGCATCACTTCTGGTTTCAGGCGTCATAGTTACGTCCTCCGATAATTTGTCTAGCAGCCCTACTAGTTCATCCAGTCCTTCATAGATAGCTTTACCAGCTTCTGATCGTGCACTCCAGCGTGTTTCAGATTCCCGCTTTACTGTGATGGCACAGCTTTTTTAACTCTTCCCAACGAATTGTTGAACGAGAGAAAAACATATATACTTTCAACTGTTCCAAAAAATGTGACGACAAGTGGATCCTGTTTAGCTGAGTGTACTCCTGCTAAGTTTAAGCTGTGGTTGTCACAGTTGACAAACAATGCTCTGTGATTTGTCACATGTTCGTTGTTGAAGGCCGGACATATTCCCAGTCATCACAGCAGCATTGTCATAACATTGTGCCCGACAGTCGGCTAGAGGTATGTTGTCAGATTTCAGTCTCTCGACGATGACTCTTTCTAGGCTTGCTGCATCTTTTGCATGTATCTCGATACAGTATAACCTAAAATGATTCTTTGATAGTACTTTTTTAGTTTGAAAATCCACATCCACAAATCTTACGACCTGAGAAAGCTGTTCCCGATGTCCTAGATCAGGAGTTGAGTCAAGTAAGATACCGTAGTACTTGTTTTTCCTGATATCACTCAACAATTGGTTCTTTACAGTCGACGCAAGTATGTGGATAAATTCATTCTGGATTTCCGGTGACAAATAAGAAACTGATCCCGGATTTTCTCCTGCGTGCTATACGTGTTTTGCTAACAATGGGTCACACTGAGCAACGAGTTTGATCAGCGCGAGAAAGTTTCCAACATTTTAATCCTCATCCGCATTCAATTTTCCGCGTACCAAAATGTATTACATGACATGTAGGCTGTGTGTGGCGGGATATATAAACTTTTAGGTTGAGGTGTAGATTTGTGCAGTAGTTTCGTGAGGGTTGAGGCAGTCCCTAGCATGAGCGGCAGCGGCGAGATGTCTTCACCTTGGTCCCAGAACCCGAATCCCGCTCCGTCCTCACACACCCCCTTATATCTCCTCCCAATTATCCAGCTACTCCCTTGTGTCTCTTTAGGGACCGACAGGCTGGCACCTGTCAGGCCATCAATCACTCCTTATCGCACGTCTCCAAGCAACACCTCCGTGCCAGCGTATAACCCCGACCGACCCAGTCTGCAACCGAATCTCCGTTAAAGAGGTGGCGGTTTGCAAATGCAACCTTACGTTGAACACGCGCACCTGCCTGCCTCAGTTTTCCCTTGGGCAGCAGTACGCACCACGTATTTTCCCACACTACATCCCCCCCCCCCCCACGAATATAAACGCAGCCGTCCTGGCTGTAATATACATCCCTTGTGCGCACGCAACATGACAACTCATAAACACAACTCTATAGTGACCAGTGACAGACCCTAACTACAAGACATCATAAGCAGTGACCATGAAAAATAACAAGAACAGGGAATGGGAATTAACAAAAAACAACGCGTCGCGAATGGGTATGTGCAGCAGGCCCGTCCCCGCGGTAGAGACGGGTCTGCTTGAGTGTGATGAGTGTCCGATGAGGGAGTCCGCAAGGCTCCGTCCGTGGTCCTTAGATCCTCCGGCCTGCAGGCGGTACAGAACATTCCTCCTCACGGCCTGTTACTTTAGGCTTGGCGGTTGGCGTACCAACACATCAACACCGGCCGGCAGGGATGTGGGGATGAATCGACCGGACCGGACAGAATGTGTTTAACCACGAAGGATGCACAAACCAGCGCCGCCGCCCAAACAGATACACACACACTGTGACTGCCGAACCTCAATGACCTCGACCGGCCCATGACAGGGGCGGTACAGTTTTGGGGACATGCCCAGGCACCTGGAGGCAATGTTGCCAAGCCTTGTTCCCCACTTGCCACGGTATTCCAGGCACTTCATGACCCTTCAGCCGCTCGTTCCAGTCCTGTCTGCGGCTGAGTTGACCCTAGCGCTTCACGGCCCAACCGCAGCTGCTCCAGTATTTTCAATATGGGGTCAGGCCACTGCCGAACCTTTCTGCAGGGGGCTCAGTCCCACTGAACTTGCACAGGGGATCGGGTTCCCTCTCATACATCAAATAACACGGTGAGAAACCCGTCAAGGCATGGGAGCAAGTCTGTATGCCACAAGGACCCCGGGAAGTGCAGATCCCAATCCGACTGTCCGCCAGTCACTTGCTGGCATAGCGGTGAGGGTTCTATGCAACCGCTCAACCATCCCGTCACTCTGCGGATGATACGGTGAGGTGCGAATTTTCCACGTGCCCAAAAACTCACACACATCCTGGAGCAATTTGAGGAAAATCATACCCTGATTCGTGAGCAGTTGCTCCAGGGCCCCCTTATCCACAAGGCGTCGGCTATAGACGCAGTTGATGGTCAACCAAGGGCCAGGCCATAGCCAACGAGTTAAATATTCGACCCCACGAGGAGGTACTTGTGCATCTCTGGGAGACCGGGAAGGGACCCAACATGTCCAGGGCCACAAATTAATTCAGCCGTGACACAACAATGGACTGTGACGGAATCTGCTGTCGCGTGGCAGAGATTTCCGACGCGCACAATCGACACAACCTCTAATCAGGAGGGACATCACTCTACACCCCGGGCCAGTAAAAGTCCTTTTTCAACATCGCCAATGTTTTAGGCACACCCAAATGCATTAACTTTTCGTTTACGGCCTTCATAAGTTTACCCCTAAGTGTCAGCGCTGGCGACCAGCAACTGCGAGCGATATCGGGCACCGCCAAAGGCAATGATCGTGCCGACTCAACAATCATCCAGCAGTGGAGAAGCCTGGAGCTGCCACCAAGAGAGAGAGCGCCGTGTGTATGACACGCCCAACACCACACACGACTCATCGCTCAGGAGGCAAGCAAACCGAGGTATTATCGGTACAAGGAAAGCCCCACCTCTGCGCCGGCTTGACTCAAAGAGTTGAGCACAAAGACAATCACCCACACACACAACACACATATCGGGACTAATAAGATTGCTCCAAAAGTGATCTTTGTTTCGAAAAGGGCCATCCTAAGGTGGTGCGTTAACTATTAGCTGATCGTGGAAAACCATTGTCCGGTCCATTGAGCTGCTTGAATATGTCATATAGAAGTATTTTAGCAATACATTAAATGACGCTACGATGTTATGAATCTACACACTCACAGGAATACTATTGGGTTGAGATTTATTTATTTGATCACGGAATCTTGCCCGCGGATCAATTCAAGCCCATTAGCCAATTGATAAGCATCTCTTAGGCAAACAGCACACTGACACAAACTATTGTTCCAGGCATTTCGATCAATTGCATAATCTTACCAATTAATTCATTGAAAACTACTTTGGCCTTGGCACATGTTTCTTTACTACTGTTCGTATTAATATTGTAACAGATTCTTAAGGACTTTTATCTATTGGCGTGTATGGTCTCTTTACTCTGAGGAATTAGCCGATTAAATTTCGATTTAAAGCTTTCGTAACTGCAGAGATTCATCTTCTTGGTTCTTTCAGTACGTGACTTTACCGAAAGGACCAAGAAGATGAATTAGCAGATTGTTCTATTATCCAGTTAATAAACGTAACCATTGAGGGTTAATTGTACGGATCAATGAAAAGGACATTTCCAGGAGTACTGGAATGACAATTCCTAGCATAAGAGTTCGCATTACAGTGTTTTGTTTTAAGATATTAAGTTGCTTAACGCAAAGAGTCTGGTGTCCCTTCCTAAGTTCATGCGTAATAATCATAATTATAAGAACTGTTCCTGCGGTGAGATCTGAATTTTGAGACCTGACATGAACACACTAAAACATAATCAGTAAAAGTTCAAGTGAGAATCACTGTATTATTATTTAGGTCTTTCGGTAAAGTCACGTGATAGTTCAAAGAAAATAACAAAAGCCTATCTACGTACTTCACCAAAAATCCAAAGAATATGAATTCCTAGATCACGAAAGCTTTAAGTCAATGAATATATTATACCGATTGGTAAAACAGCCTGAGACAACGAAGCAGAGCCTAATTCGCATAATTACATACACTTGCATAACTTCATACAATTACACCTTCATATTATTATCACGATTGGTAATACCCCGAGATATAGCATAAATACATAATTAGCATAATTTCAAAACATTACGCATTTTCAGTTTTCATTTAATTTTAATTATTTTTCAAGACTTAATATATACAACACTTGGGAGCTTATTGGCTCTTGCTCGTGGTTAATCATCTACCCAACCCACAGGTCCACAAATACTGGTCGCTCTTACTCTGCAGGTTGAACCCAGGAATTGAGTGTTCGACTTCATGTTCTTTCATTAAAGGCCTGTGACAAGGTGAATCTATCATTGTCTCAAGCTTACACATCTACCGGGTCTCCATTTGACTTTGTATTGTCTAAGAAGTCCACCCACACCTCCACTTCCACAAACTGCTGGGAGTTGCCTCCCCTCTGCCTCACAGTCAGAAATCTCCTCCTGCTTCACGTTGCCTCCATCGATGTGAAGGTCCAATTTCGGAGTTGAATCTTCATCTTCACAGTTTACCGTCACTTCTTCGCTCTTCACCATCACTTCTTCACATTTCATCTTCATTTCTTCGCTCTTCATCACCTCTTCACATTTCACCTTGATACCTTTAAAAGTGTCCAAGCTGGGATTCACTTCTGTTCATGAGGATGGGCTCTTTGCAGCACTTTGACTTTCACAAGCCGATTTCAGACTCCACTCCTTGGGATGTTCTGATGATTGTATCTCCTCTGGTGTGTTTTAAGATTTGATAAACCTGCAAACGCCTTCCCGCACACAGTGCACCTGAAGGGTTTCTCTCCCATGTGTGTTCTCTGTGTAGTTTAAGATGTGATGACTCAGAAAACGCCTTCCCGCACAAGTGCACAAAGTGCACCTGAAGGGTTTCTCTCCCGTGTGTGTTCTCTTGTGGCAATTAAGACATGATAACCATGCAAATGCCTTCTCACAGACAGTGCACTTGAAAGGTTTCTCTCCCGTGTGTGTTCTCTGGTGTAGTTTAAGATGTGTTGACTCAGCAAACGCCTTCCCGCACAAAGTGCACCTGAAGGTTTCTCTCCCGTGTGTTCTCTGGTGTCTATGAAGATCTGATGACCATGGAAATGCCTTGTCACACACAGTGCACTTGAAGGTTTATCTCCTGTGTGAGTTATCTGGTGCTGTGTCAAATGTTCAGGACGATCCGTGCTGTATGCACACTGGTCGCGTTGTTGCCTTTTTGTACCGAGTTGCGCCGAGTGCCTTTGCTCCATCAGATCTATTCTGCGGAGGAAGCGTCAGCTGCAGACAGAAAAAAAGAATATCCACACCATCTACGTCAGTATCGAGGCACAGAGGAATGCATATATACAGTCACACATACTTACACGTCATACTTATTCATATATTCATGATATAGTGAAAAAGATTCCCAAATTAATCACATGGCTGTTATGACACACGATGAAAGGACAAATGGTCAGAAATATGCCTGGAAGCCCTTTAATTTAAAAAACGAATGTTAACCCACTCCCAAGCACACAATTTCAGTTGTCTGGCTACAAAAGGAATATTTATTAAAGAAAAATGCAGCTAACATAGCAAAGGGTGTTGAAAAAATACTATTTGTATTATGCAGAAATGCATAGATTAATGTTCAATCGCTTACTTAGAGGTATGAAGCCAGGCTCAGATTTCCTTGAATGCTGGGATGAACAGATCTAACTTCAGCTGCATATGTGCTGTGTTAACTTCCCGTTTCCATTATTATAAAAAGCCCCAAAGGAAAACTAAAATAAACTATTGTTTTGATTTAACCTACGTGTTCAAAAGAGTTAATATACTTAACTGCAAATACAAACTTTACACTGTCACACATTGGCATGGTAAAAAGGTGGTGGTGTGTCCAGAACCATGCATGGCCACCTTCATCTGCTCAGTATTAATGCTTCTCTCACTTCACCAAGTAATTAATTGAGGATCAATCAACATAGCCGAGACCACAAGAAGTGAAGTTTTCACTTATCAATCACGTTTGTTGTCGGCGATAATCAAACTCTAATTATTGAGTTCATAATACAGTGATAACACTGTAATAAAGGACTCGACCACTGTGTCTGTCTTCGTTGTCCTTTATTCGGGTTCTTTACACTTGCCCCACACGGCTCTCTCTCCGAGACTCCCCCGCTTGGCAGCCCGATGCTGCCGTCGCTCCCGTAGCCTCTCACTCCACTCTGATGCAGCTCCGCTGCTGATCTCCTCGTGCAGGCCTCCGGCTGCCCTCACTGCAGCCTCAACCGGCTCCCCGTTCCTCCGTGCTCGGTCAACGCTGGCCGACGGTGCCGAGACTTATCCTGGGTGTGTGGCGATCTCGCCACCCTCCAACCTCCGCCCTGCGTGGCCTCACTCTCTATTTCTCTCCAACTCTCCCCTGCTCTTCCGGTTTCTCCCCCTTAAGACTTGATCCCTCTCTCCCACGTGACCTAACTCCTCCCCCCGTGACGTCACATCCGCGAGGCCATTTACGCCCGCATCATGGCTTGGCTTCGCGAACGAAGATCTAGGAAGGACATCCACGTCTTCTGCAGGCACGCTGGTGGCTGAAGAGGCCTATGCGGGACAAGCAGGTCCTGCCACAACAGCTGCAAGTATAGGTCTCATCTGGGATGGGTGCTGAGGGATCATGGTTCTTCCTCCTTCTCCTTTTGTCCTCCATACGGGCCCTGCGGGTATCTTCG